TCTCTGTGCATTTCAACGCTGTGATGTGTATTTTAAGCCTGTGATGTTGCAACTCGATCTAGCTGGGCAAGCTGCTGGGGACAGGCAGAGCATCACAGACAGATTTCAGGAGGCCTCCGGGTGGACTTGCCTGCCCCAAGCAGTACTGGGGTGAGTGAGGATTTGTACTGCAGCAGCAGGCTCTGGATCACACGTAAATCCAACCAACTGCTTCCTTTAGTGGACACTGAGCAGTACTGGAGACTCACATCCCCAGCTCGCTACACAAAATGCTCTCCTCCCCCATGTTAATTAGAAAGGATTAAGATCCAAAGGGATCCATCCTTTAAAGATACAAGGACTGGAACATAAATATTTCTACTTGAAATTAATCTTGTGGCACATATTTTGTGATTTTTTTTATAAACAACTAGAATTATACTACTAAAATCAAAAAACACAAAAATTGCCATAATGAAGCAAATCAGAGATATTCATCTAGAAGGATCTTATTTCTGACTACAGACCGTAAAAGATGCTAAGGAAAGACATATAAAAACAACGTAACTCGTTCATAGATTCTCTGTGTCTGAACTATATTGATAGATATCAAGAGTAATTTTCAAGTCACTGCAGTATAAAATATGTTTTTTACATATGCCAGCATTAGTCAAAAATAATTAACAGCATCCCTCTATGCACTACATTAATCATGCCACCAAATTAGGTAGTAGGTACAGAGATCACACTTATCTTTCAAGTGTTACTGATAACATCTTTTCGGATTCAGGGGGTTTTCTGGTGGTAGAACCAGAAATCCTCTCTGCCCGCAGGTTACATGTCCCCAGGCATTGGCATCAGGCCGTTGCTATGAGTCTCCTTGGAAAAAGCGGATTTAAAGTTGTGATTCTGGCTAGAGAACCTCAAAGTACAGCTAAAATGTAGCTCATCTGTTTGCATGGAAATAGTCACCCATTACAGCGAGGGAAAATCTATCCTGCAATTCCAGTGATCATTACAGTAATCCACCACCCCTGTGCTTAAGTGGGGAGAAATAAAAATAGAATAGCAGGTACAGAGAAATGTAGAAAAAGACTTATTTCTCAGAATGTTCTGTGATGCCATTTACCACCTGAGCAATGACAGATGCAACTAATTATCTGGTAATTTCCCCTGAATACATAATTTTTGAGATTCTTTTTGACGTCTACATGACAGATAGTATTTGCCTCTTCCCCCTTTAGACATCTCTCCTTAATAATTATCCCGCAAGAGCAAAACAGCACAGGACACAACCAAATCAGTGTCTACATGGACCCTGACAAGGCAGAAGACCCAAGGTGGCTTCTTCTATCCCAACAGGAAGCAAATAAAGACAGGAGCAAAGTCATTCCTTTGTACTATTTTCAAACTAAACTCTACAAATATTAAGGATGTAAGTGAAATAGCCTTCATTTTTCAGAGAAAACAAATGGATTGTATTTCTGTCCAAGCTGAGTGAAAATATAATAAATAAACAGTTAAAACTATTAGCAGTACATTATACTTTTGAATTGGTAATAGTTCTAATACCGCATTTTAAAGACTGTCATTTTTTAAATAATGCTGTGCATTTAATGTCTGGCAAGTGATAAAGCCTGAGACCTCACCAGCTCTCATGAGTTAGGCCAAGGCTGCTCAGCGCTAACGGCATCTCGCCAGGAAAAGAAACAAAATGGGACCTTGGTGAGTGATGGCAGCAGATTAATGCCATGCCTCGAGTTCGCTCCCTGCTTGGAGAATCACAGGCTGAACCAGAACAGCCTCTCCTATGAAGAACTGCAATGGTAACCCGTGTTAGAGTTCATTTGACTATGGAGCTATTGGGCATGATTTGAATTTGGTGTAATTTCATTCATACAGTGGCACAGAGAGTCCAGACTTCTAATTTGTTAGAGAAATTAGGCACTGACCTTGCTAAAATTACATGCTGCAACACGCAATCAGTACTTTCTCTTGCCTCCCACTGCTTCTTTATTTCACTGCCAGCGTTTCCTACATTTTGGACAGGTAAAGCTTCCTTGTTGTCATTGCTGACAAATTCCCTAAGTCATAAAATTGCCATTACAGAGACCAGCCGCACCAGAAGAATTACGTTTCCAGCATTATATTTGCTGGTTTCTTATCCCGGGATCTGAATCTTTATTTTGGGGTTTCACACTTATAACTCCTAAGCCTATTTAACTTTATTTTTATATGGAATAATATTGCTTTGTGGTTCCGCAGAACTTCATCCAGGGTTCTCCAGGCAATTTAATCTTTCCAAATGTCATCTTAATCTACAAGGAGCTCCACTGAAATTAACATGTCTATGGGCAGAATAAATACAGGAACAAGTTACAGAAGAGTTAAAATAATGAACAGGTATAGCACTTACTTTTGTCAGAATGAATGGATGCATAATGAGTTTCCTGCCATTTATAAAATTTCCATGTGTTTGACAGGCATGTCAAAGTATACCAAAAAATGCTGAACACTGCTGCATCTTGTAATTAAAAAGATAACTCTACACTTAAGTGCAAGTCATCAGTATTATGCTTCATACATAAACAGACAAGCAAATATAAAGAGAGGAAAATGTTTTCAAGAACTGCTGACTGTGAACATCTGCCTGTAGATGTCCAGTCAGAGAAGCATAAGTCCCTAAAAGTAAGATATTTAGATACTTAACTTCCACTGAATCTATTAGAAATTAAGCACCTATATTATCTCTTAAAATACAGGCTTTGAGACTGGCAATTTCAAAGTCCTAAGAAGTTGAGGTTGAAATAGTTATTACAGTTGTTAGTGTCCAGAGTTTATAAAAGTCTTGATCTTAAGAATCCGAATGGGAAGGTAATCAAACGAAAGGGCACTGAGTGTTTATGACTGATTCATCCCAAGTGACACATTATGGTACTGATGGGGAGCCGACAGGGCTGGAACTGACCAGCTTCTTTCAGCTTGTGATCACTTTTTCTTTCATTATTTCTGACACCACTACATTATGTGCATGTGTAGCACTCCAAATATGTTTGCAGGCCATGCAAATGTCTGCAAAAAAGCCTGCATCTCAGGAAACTATTTAAATCTACTGAAATCCCTGAAAATCTGCCTATGGAATTTGGGATAAAAGCATAGAAAAATGAGATAAAAAATATAGGACTTCTGACTCCTCTTCTAGCCTTCCGATCAACAAATTACACTTACCATCCCAGTCCATATTCTTATAAGAAATGAAAATTAAAACCAGAACTACTTTTAAATGGCAGTGATTGCACTAATTTTCCAGAGATGAACAAAACTTCAGACTATAGAAGTATTCCTCTCCGCATACTTCATTCCAGGAAATGGAAGGAAAGATAAGCTACTAAATATACATTCAGACTACTGCAAAGTACTGAATTCAGGACAAAAATATCATCTAAAAAAAAGTAATTCCTGTTGGGGATGTTGCCTCTTTCCAGTGAGTGAAATTCACCACACCAGGGAGTATATTTTTGATTATCCTAAATCAAGCTTCCAGTAGGAAAGATTTTAAAATATTCTTCTGTTGTAACAAAATGTTCCTGCTGGTGTTATAATGAAAGAGAAAAAAGAGAAAAAAAAAAAAACCCTGCTGGCAGGAAATTAATTATTGAGCATTCCAGTGCTTGATGATGCACTCCTACATTCTGTGCAGTCTTTCCATTTTTCTTTCTAAAAGTGTAGCGAAATTCATTATGGAGACTATGGGAAAACAACAAAGTGCACCAGAAAACCAGCTTATCAAATGCATTTAGAAAGCAAACAGAACTGCCCTGAGTTTGTGTGTCAACACACCTGCTGCCTATTCCCTCTTGGCATCTCCCTCTCCTCTTCTCCATCACGTTGCCGCTTTTTCTTCTTCTGCCCTGAAATTACTTCTGTCTAAGAAGAAAGCAGTTCTTATGGCTTTTAGCATCACTTACCTGCTTTGAACTACCACTTCCTTCACTGGAAAAATAAAATGGAAAATCTTGGCTCTTAATGAAAAGGTGAATAAAAGCGAATCATCACGTGCCTGTGTCTAAACACCCAGCCACAGCTCAGTTTTTCAAACCACCTTTATTTCTTCCCTTATGTCCATACAGTTTACCAAATAGCTCTCAGTTTCCTGTGAAAAAGCTGGGGAAAAAAATGTGCATGCCATAACTTCAGCAATCAGTTCTATAATAGAATATATGGTTACTAACCCATATCTGCACTCTGAATATGCATCTAGAAAAATACTCAATTCAGCGGGGCGATACCGCTGCCAAAAGCACATGAAAGCAGATGTTTTCCAGTAAGTGGCATCCTGGATCCTCAAGTGGTGCTTTTTCAAACTACTGAACTAGAGAAGGAACGTGTAACAGACTGAGACCACAGGTGCCAAATGGAGATAGTGTTTTAGGTGATCAGTACTCCATAGCTGAGTTAGGACATGATGAGGAACTTACCATGGTAAATGAACACTTTTGGCTTTAAAAAAAAAAGGCAAGGAGAGTATGGAAAACTACTCCAGCAGGTGGCTATATGATGCTGGCAGAACCCTTCATAGTAGGTAGCCTGCTGGGACTCTGGTGGTGCTGTTTCTCACGGGCATCACCAGCGTCCCGTGGGGCTTATTGACCTCACGCTCCTCCCTCAGCTCCCAGGCAGGATGGCCTGGACACGGCCTGACTGCTCTGGCTTCCAGGCCAGCAGTAGCTCGTGTTTGGGCAGCTCAGAGCGCCGGCAGGGCGAGACGGGCCCTCTCCATCCCTACAAGCAGACGTGCCTGTGTTTTCATGTGTTGCCCACATCTGTGCTGCCTACCACCTCTCCTGAGAACACACTCCTGTGCATCTGAGACACCTCTCGGCTGTGTGTCCTGCTCACACAAGGAATCCCAGTGACCCGGACTGGTAATTCAAGCCTGCATCTTCTCAGATGCAAAATCTTCCCTTGCAAGGAAGCATTCTGGAATAAGACAAAACATGAAGCTCACAGCATCCCCCTACCCACGGGGTATCGCAAGCGTGCGCAGGAGCCGCAGCAGCAGAGCCGCAGCCGTCCCCACCACGGGGTCCTCCGCAGGGCCCAGCCGAGCCGGGTCCTGCCGGAGCAGCACTCGGGCTGCTGGAAACCCGGCCTCATCCTCGGCTATTTTTTCATCTTGGCATCATGGCTTTCCAGCACATCGCAGCTGCCGCTGATACACAACGATACGAGAGGTGACTCAGACCACATTGTTCGGAGAAAATTAATTTTGAATTATGAAACAGAAGTAACTTTCATTTCTTTGCCACATATGCACATAAAAGCATATGCTGGCATTTTATAATCATCCATACTGAAGAGAAGCACCACGCTTCGCCACTGAGCCCTCGCAGCACAAAATCACACTCGCCTGAATATCAGACTCACCATCTGCAAAACGTTTTTCACTTCTAGAAGATAATGTGAGATCTATGTGTTAAAAATCATATATGCTGTAAGCAATAGCTATTATCACTTACTTTGGAGCATCACCTTAAAACAAATGCCTTTTCCCCCCAGAATAGCCCACACAAGGCATGCAACTTCTTAAAACTTCTTAGTAGCACAAACAAGGGGACAACTAACAAACCTCTTAAAAAATTCCTCTTGCATTTTAAGAAGGCAGAGGAAGGTTCCTCCTGAGCATAATATTATTTGGAGGAATTTGCCCTGTAGGATGACATTCTCCTTCAGGGCTATAGGAATTCTGGACAAGGCTGCATACATCTGTATAAATGCATCTTAAGTTGCAGAGAGGGAAAAGAGTTTAACTCCTTCTTACACAAATGATTGAAAGGGAAAGTGAAAAAGAGATTATTCTTCGGAAGAATACATATCTTTTCCTTCTCAAAACAAATGCCCATGAATTTAAGATGAATCCTTTCTAACCAGTACAATGCAGAGCAACAGGAGATTGGGCCATCCATGCTAACGCACAGAACCAAAAGAGATGGGGGCAGGAGCCAGAGAAATGTATTCTTATCTGTAGTGAGGGACTGACAAAACAAGAGGGGAGTCCAGCCCAAACTCACCAGCCCTGACTCCCATCAGACTCTGAGTTCTGGAAGTTATGAAGATGCAGGTCAAAATGTTGTGGAATGAGCCCATGTGCATTAACTGCATTATCAAGACATCAGAGATAGAAGAATGGCTAATTTTGGTCTCTTTTCAGATAAATTATACATGTTCTATAAACAAACCAAGCCAAAACTAATTTTCAGCGACTGCATTGTCTCTTCCAGTAATCAGGGCTTTAATATCATTATGCATAAACAGGAAGAGATGATGATCTGTAATTCAAGACTATTATTTTTATGGATGTGGAGATACATGGCAGTATTATGCAAATTGTTGATTAAGAAGATTGGTATGCTACATTACACAAATAGTTTTTTCCGTGCCTACGAACCAAGGCTGCTTTTCCCTCTTCCATTAGTTCTCGCTGCCCTCGCCAATCACACGCAGGTAGTTGCAGGGGGTAAACGTAATTTTGGAGCAACTATAGCACTGATGCTGAGCCACATTCAGACCTGGACATTTGCGTCCTTTGTGCCAACACAGCCTGTGGCAGAGCAGGAAAGTACCTCGTGGAGGATTTATCCGAAAGCTCTGCCCATGTTTATGCCTCAGCAGTGTAGGAGGAGGTACATCAAGTGCCGGGATCGCCCTCAGCTGCCTCTCCAAGTGCCCCGATGGGGACCTAGAGCCCTGTCCTGGCTTCTGAGGGTGTCTCCACACCTTTGCGTGGGAGTGACGGGGCAGAGCGCACAGAGTTTACTGGGCTCCAAAAGAGTCTGCAGCCCCAAGCGCGGCCGGTCCGGGGAGGCCTCGCACCGCCTTCCCATCGCAAG